AAACACGGCCCGCGAAAACGCTCGCAAAAAGCGAATATCGTGTAATAAATACTGATGAGCTATTGTTGCGATCATGATTTCGCCTAAAGCTCGAGACTGCGTTTTTTCCTCCTGACTGTCACCGAAAAGACCTGTAACGAGGCATTGTCCTCCGGTCACTGATTTTCAGCGGCGTGGCGTGCTTTGCGATATATCGACTTATCTGCCGTTTAAACCCATCGTACAGAATCGATAGACTGTACGTTCCCAACGAACACCTTAATAATCGATTCTTTGCCGTAACTTCAAATGGTGGAACATCGATAATCGATCGTTTACGTTTCGCCTTCTTCTCCGGTCACTGATTTTGTCTAGCTTTGTCACTCGACGCGACGTTAGCTGCGGAGCAAAAGTTCACCGAAAAAATTGATTTGATGGCTTGCGCAACCGCAGTCATGTTTCGTCTTCCTTCTCGTTTAGTTTTTTTTTTTTGTGATGAAGCTTCAGCTGAACCCGCCCCAAAGATATAAATTACGTCATTAATCCGAAGGAGAGGCTTCGATGTCTGAAACGGATTGATTTAATAAAAAAAGGATTTAAGGGTCTCGGAGGACAAGGCGCATAAGTGCAGTTTTTGCTATTTCGAGAAATACGTGTTCGAAGTTCCGAAATTATATGGATCTTCATGGCGGTAAAAAAGTTCAACCTGACTTTTTGATGCTTCAAAATTGAAATTTGCGAATTTTTCACAGAATATGCATTGAGACTAGTTTTACTTGAAATCATCAATATCTTTTTTTTTCAAAAACTGCACTTATATGCCTTGTCCTCTACACCCCTCAATTATTATATACAACAGCCATTGCCAAATTTTCCATGAGGTTGCATGTAATCAGGAGCGATCAAGGGAAGATAATCTAAAATGTTTGGAATTTTTGAATCGTATTTAGTAAGTGTGTGCTCTGTCTAAAAAGGTAGCGCTCGGTCATCAGGGTGCACGGTCTAGGCATCTTTACATCAGGTCGTCTTTATTTTTTCTTCGTAGGTCGATCCAATTACTCCCATCCATTTCATTCTATTGTTTCCTCTCACCTTCACTTTCTGTTATTTTCCTACCCATAACAACTTTTCCTCCACCCTGTTTCGATTTTTAGACCCATATCTTGGCTTTCCCGTGACTCCCGTGAGGATGCATCTGTTGTAGCAGCATTTTTGCACTGGTGCTGTTCTTGAGGTAAATTATAATCCTACAAAACCGGTATTAGATAAAAAAAAAAAAAAAAACCATGTACAAAGTCAGCCGCACAAAGAGAGACACTGCAAATTCTATTTATAACTATAACTAAGAGTAAACCGATAAAACCAAAAGAGTGTCATAAATAAAGGAGATAAAAGTAAACCAAATGCACTAGAAAAAATTAAGAAACACCTAACATGATTTGGTTTTATTTTGCTTAATTTGATATAAATAAAGTGCCTTTTCAACGAGACTTTTCCAGGCCATGCATTATTATAGAGCAGGGGAGAATGCAATAGTGTATTTCCTTCGGATAATACACTAAAAAAACACTAAGCTAAGAAAGCCATTTACTTATCACCTTAAAAAACAAAATATTTAAATAAACTAGCAATGCATCCAGAGTGCACTGATCGTGAGTGTAGTTCGCGACTTCCAGAGTCAGTGCATAAAAAAAAAAAAGAAAAATATTCTATCTCTTTCAAAAAGCGTGATTGAAAAGGGTCTTATCTCAGCCAATAGAAATTGAGGCGAGTGGGAATAGGTTTGAAATGTATTGCTGAAAAATCGAGATAATCAAATGTATTCTTCATTTGCTCTTTGAAATCACTCTTTTTGATGACTATAACGAACGTAACTCCTCATTTGTTTTGCAAATGCGACCGTGGATGATGGGTGTTGCCTTCGATTCTGAATAAGTCTCGTCGTGGTAACGGGAAATGCTGGGCCTGCCACTCAAGGTTGGCGGCCACTGCACCGCGCGGCTCACCGACAAAAGCGGAGTTACGTCATCGCGAACCATAAAACGCCTTCACTTTTGGAGAAAACCTCAATGTGTACATTCCGATACAAAGCTTCCTGTCCGCTCGTCTCTCAGCTGAGGCTGAAAAGGGAATGAATGGTGCATTACGGAAATGTTCTCATCTCAAAACTTTGACAAAACTTGTTCTCCTATTTTATTATCAGAGATAAAAAATTAAAATGAATATTTTTCAATTTTTTCGGCTAAATATAACTTTATTAAATAATGGAATAAACAACACTCGGTTTTATTTCTTGAAAATACATTTTTCTTCGATCATAACTTCAATAATAACAATTATTTTTTCACTACAAATTCATTTAAAGGAAAGAGAGCTAAATTCTCACAAATCATCACTGCAGGTATTATACAGGGGTGCAACTTATAGCCTAGGAAGGAGCCTCAGAAGGTCTCATGACACTTTTTACCCTCAAAATGTTATTTTTTTCTGCCGTGAAGTTCTTTTGGACAAACCAACTAATTTTAGTGAAGGCGGCATATCGCCAAAATTGTTCATTTTTATGGAAATTCGTTATGCTTGAGAGGAATAACTTTGATGCATTTTTTTCTGTTTTCCTGTATTTTTAATCGTGTCATGTGAAGTTGCAAAGCACTCGAATCCTTTAATTCCCAGAAAAAAAGAAGAAAAATAATGATCCGGGATGTCTTATTGTATAAATTAATGCGTAAGTTCATGATGACGGGACCGCAGAAAGGAAGCTCAAAGTTTTCGTCCCGCTCGCCAACTTCCGATCGTAAATCGATTTATTTGATGCCGGCAAAGCCGCGGTCTCCCCAGAAAATTGGCATGCAGAGATGAAAACACCTCGCGCGCGAGCTACGCAATAATGTGCGAACAGTTCTGACCTAGTGCATGTTGTTTACCGAATAATTACATGGTGTAAGATGAATAGGCATGGGCAGCATTTAGTGCCTCCAGTGATTGGCTACCGGAAAAACAGATTCAGTGCGTGGCTGGCTGTAATACTGCGTTCGTGTGCATGAATTTTGCCTGTGTCTCCGGGGAGGATGAGAATTGACCGTTAAGCGGATGTATGAATGCTATGCGACAAGTGAGGAACAACAACAAAGGAGATAGGAATTACCACGTATTCCACACCGCCATTTTGGATCGAAAATGTATCGAAAAAGCGACCCGAACTCGGCGCACACCGGGCTCGGAATTCGTCGAGCAGAACATGGCGCCAGCTCTTCCATTTACACTACGACTCTGTGTACTCTATGATTTGTGGTGAATTGCAGGAGGTCCGAGTTGGGTGAGTTTTGTGAGTATTTTGCTTAAAAAGTAACCTGACTGAAGCAGCTGACTGATCGTTGGTTTTCTTTTATGTTGCAGTGTTGATCTCCTCCGCGCAAGACAGTAGAAACGATCCTCATCATGACACGTGACAATCATGTCCGCCTACACTTAGAAAATAGGCAATCGGTAAGTCGACTTAACTCGCTCCTATTGTAGACTTTGACGCAGGTGCTGGAAAGGGTCAGAATGAGAAAAGTTCTTAAGAGGATCTATTTTCTCAGTGTTAATATTGTCCTTCTGTGTTGCACCCAGAAAAATGAGTTTCACAAGCAACAATAGGCTTCTTGTGTAGCATTGAGCAGATGCTTATATTCTCACCTCTTAATTTGTCAGGATTACCATTAATTAAGATAGTTTACCCGTATATGAAACGTCATTACTTCGGTAATCATCCGTTTTCTCCAGTGTGAAGACCTGAGATAGCTTAAACCTCCAGAACCTAACATTTCGATGTCCAAAGTGCGAAACCATGTACATACATTCGCGGTATTCCAAAATTCCCGCTTTTATTTTATTTCTTCGATAAGAGACATAATAGCTTGAAATGTACAAAGTATAATCTGCTGACAGAGAGGAAAAACCTAGAGAGTTTTCAAGAAATTTAGTCAACTAGATTTTCAAAGAAAAATAAAGTCTGCAACGTCCCAAACGGAAATACTTAGTTTTGCACTTTGGCTGTGTCGATGTGCACTACGAGTTCAAAACGCGCGAACAACGCTGTCAATCTCAGAGTGGCTCAAATTGCATAGCTCCTGAATAGAAGGAGAACTTATGCGACACCACTGTGCAGGCCTCCATAGTTGGATCAAATCATTCCAACGGACGGATAATTGGACTGCATTTTGCAATTTGGACCTATAAATTCCGGCCCGGTTTAAAAACAACGTATGTGCCATTAGTTTCCCTATGCACATAAGTGTTTTTTCAGATGAGCCAGAATTTATAGGTCCAAATTGCAAAATGCAGTCCAA